GTATTATAAAGACATTTCAACCATCACTACTTGTATTATAAAGACATTTCAACCATCACTATTTGTATTATAAAGACATTTCAACCATCATTACTTGTACTGTATTAAAAAGACATTTCAACCATCACTAGTTGTACTGTATTATAAAGACATTTCAACCATCACTACTTGTATTGTAAAGACATTTCAACCATCACTAGTTGTACTGTATTATAAAGACATTTCAACCATCACTATTTGTACTGTATTATAAAGACATTTCAACCATCACTACTTGTACAGTGTTATGAAGACATTTCAACCAACACTACTTGTATTATAAAGACATTTCAACCATCACTAGTTGTATTATAAAGATATTTCAACCATCAATACATTGTCTCACTGTTCAGTCCCAAAAACTTCTTCTTCCATCAATAGTTCATTACCGGTGTATGTAAGTACCACTATGTTTTTCACTACAACGGTACAGCAAAGTATATTTTTTTAGCACGAAACTGTTATTTTATTGTCTAATCATAACTACATATAACACCACCCATCATAACTACATATAACATCATCCATCATCACTACATATAATACCATCCATCATCACTACATAATAACACCTTCCATCACCACTACATACAACAAGGGGGACCGGTGGTAGAAGCGGTACCGCTCTTGCCTCGCAAGCAAGATGTCACGGGTTCGATTCCCGGGCCGGTGGAAGTTGTTTGGACATACTTCCTAGCCCCCATTAGTCCCTGTTCACCTAGCAATAAAGTAGGTACCTGTTGTAAGTCGAAAGTTGCGAATTCGTATTGAGGGAGTTGTTGGAGCTTCCAATATCTTGATGACATAAACCATTGACTCTTCAGGCTTCTACACCCTTGACTCTTCAGGCTTCTACGCCCTTAACTCATGAGACATAAAGGCAAGCATGAACTTAGCATGCTTCTCTGTTGGGCACTGTAAACGCTTCTGCGCTTCACCTTACACAAGGATGTACGGGGGTGCCTAATAAAAAAAAAAAAAACTACATATAACATCATCCATCATCACTACATATAACACCATCCATCATCACTACATATAACACCATCCATCATCACTACAGATCGGTAAAGTAGTTTCCGAGATTCTCGTGCGGACACACAAACAAACACACACACCCACAAACAGACATACTTCTTTGTTTTATATACAGTATATAGATTCTAAACACCACTTCTTGTATTTTAAGGATATTTTGACCATTACTACCTGTATAATAAGGATATTTCAAGCAATACTTCTCGTATTTTTTCTAAGATTAATGGGAGTAAATATGGTTCCAGTGGTCAAGATAATGCTGTGATAATAACAATTTTATGTTAAGCATAGAAGCAACAATGGGTGTATATAAGGCAACAAAAACAAAAGTATGTTAGTGGGATGAAAAGGCATGAGAGAGAACAGAAGACTAAGAACAAGAGGAAAGGATAAAGTAAAGGAGTTGGTGGGTGAGTGTGATGCTAGGGTAGATGGACAAAGAAAAAGGATAGGCAGGTAAGAATGATGTTTGGATGGAGGTGTGTGAGAAAAAACACCTGGACCTGTAATGATATAGTGATGGTTCAAGGTGATCCTGTATAAATAACTTTATTTTACTCCGACATGAAATAAAAACTATATAATTATAAAGTATAAACAAGTCAGTAAACACCTTAACCTCTTACTTATAAGCTTCACCTCACACGGCAGAGTACCTGGAGGTGGTCCGCGACTCTCTGGCCACTGTGAGTGAAGACTGTAACACACAGATAAAAGAAGCTCACCAGCAGCTGGACCTGTTGCTGCTGGACCAGACAGGCTGGGACACCATCACCACAGAGTTCAGGTAAATAACTCCATTATTAATGTCCTTCGGTGTCCTTCTGGTAGACCAGATAGACAGGAGCTCCATCACCATAGAGTTCCGATAAATAAATCCTTTATTAACGTCATTCTGTGCCCTAGTAGCACACCAAGCAGTATGGAACCACCCACACACACACACACACACACACAGGTTGGGACATCATCACCACATACACAAATACTAATGCTATTTTGCTGTCAGTCAGGATAGAGTATGACGATCATCCAGCTAGGATACAATGATATGAGTTATTAAGGATGTCACCTTCGTCGATGAACTCTGAGGTGACTCCAGAGGTCAATATGGGACCTGTATGGCTGTCCACAGATGGTACACGTGTGGAGGGCTTCATCTAGTGCGGGAGGGGCGCCGGTAGCGTCTTTCCAGCGTTGGCGCTTGTCTGCCTCGATATCCAGTAGGGCTAAATCAAAAGTACTGACACCTTCTCGTGTGGTGCTCCTCCAAATTTTTCGACGTGGAATGATCGTCTCATATGTGAGGGGTCAATTTGGTACTTTTCAGTTTTGTCTTGAAATTACCCTCATACCTTTTCCGTTGCCCGTTAGTGTTATGTTTACCAATCGTTAGGTGACTGTTAAATAAGCTGTTTTGGCAGTCTACTGTCGTCCATGTGGGTAACAGGGCCATTGGCCAATATAACGAGAATACTTGCATTAGTTCTCTTGTCTTCCCAGCGAACTTGGAAGATGGAAGGTAGATTATGTTGGTGAAAGTTTTCAAGTGCCTTGAAGTGCCTCCTGTATGTGATCCAAGTCTCGCTGCCATATAGCAGGGTGGGAGGACCACTGCTCGATATACGTGCAGTTTTGCAAATAATTTCAGCTCCCTACAGCTGAAGACATGGGTATGGAGTTCGCCCAAGGCTTGAGATGCACATCTGATCTGATGTTGAATCTCTTCATCGATGTTTGCGGTGATGGACAGGTGGGAGCCGAGATACTGAAAGTGAGTAATATTAGAGAGGATATTTCCGTTAACCTGGATGGGTGGTGGAAGTGTGGTTGAACCAAGAGCAGGCTGAAGGAGATTCTGAGTCTCGTGTACAATCCCTGACGAAATTTTCACTACAGTCAAGGTGGAGGGTGCAAGGTCCTCCTATCCTTACTGGACGACGGGTCCGCTGTACCAGCCATTGCCTACCTCCCTCCCTCCCTGCACACACTACACACAAACACAAACAAGCACCCTCGCAGTTCAACAATTGAGCTCTGATACTTCCATTTGTCAATAAGGACTTGGGAAGGATGCCATGGTTTTGTTAACAAACTGACGAATTAGTTTACTCAAGCAAGTTTTACATTATTTTACATAATAAGTTACATCATTATTAGATAATCATGACGTGTTGCAGAGTGTGTTTTGGTGGCTGGGGTACGCAACGGTATCAGAATCCTCCAAGCTGTATTGTCCCTCAGAATGGGAGCCAGAAGACTAATCATGAATGTGAGAAATAATATGGTTCATATGAGAAGGCTTTATCACTCTCCATGATAATGGTCCTATCCAATGAGGATTAAAAATGAAAGGAAAGTGCGGCGTTCTTCAAGAGTAGCCCGTGCGTACTCTGATGTGTTACCAAATACTCTTTATCAATACCATTTTTACCCCCCCGGGGTTCAACCCCTCCATCATCAAGTGCATGAGAAAGGTACTAATTAAAAAATCGGCTCAGGAGTAACTGCTTTAAAACTTGGAACCCTATTCCTTGCCTATACCCCTATACTGTCTTCAGTATGAGACTTTTCATTTATTATTAATACTTACCTAATTATTGTTATTAGAATATTTCAATTCATTATGTATTATTACCGCCACAGTAAGATAAACTAGACGAGAGAGAGGGGGTGAGAGGAGAGACATAGTGTTGACAACGAATTTTGCTGAGGTATTTAAATAGGCGACAGCCACTCAGCTGTATGACTGCCTGAGGGATAGTCTATCGCCTCCTACCGTAGAGACAACATCTTTCGTTCGACCAACATATACCAAGAGGATATTATATTTGTTCTCGTTGGTCAAACCTTAGACCCCAAAACGTGAGTGTGATTGTGGACTATTAAATCCTCTAAAAACTCTAAATAACTTTAATAAGTATATTTATGTACTGTATATTGATTATATTATACAAATTGTCTCCTGATGTATCAACAGTTGTAACATGTGAGTTATATTTAAGAGGTTAATAGGTTATGTACTGTCCTGATATACCATCATTTGTTATATGTGAATTGTTCTTTAACAAGTTTTGACAGAATTATACTCTTCGCGTCATCGTTGTGGGTCTTATTATCCAGCACAAATCAATAACGCTCCTATGAGAGTTAACATGTATTATACCATATGGCACGCTGGAAATCAATCAATACAGGCAATGCGATCTCAGTAAATGATTTACATAATTATGTAGATATTGTAGTATTACTTCAATCCCATATACATACTGTTGACGCTCATAGGAGCGTTATTGGTTTGTTGCCGGAGAAATAAACCCTCAACGTTGACGCGTACCATATAATTCGGTCAAAACCTGTTAAAGAACAATTCACATATAACAACAAGATCTCCTGCTGGACCCGGAACTGTGAAGACCGCCCTCTCTCTGGTGCCATTGTTGGCCATCTTCCCGGACCTGACCATCCACCACTGACATCGTCGACAACAACTCACGAGCGTTTTCGGCTTATCGAGCCCTCCCCACTGGAGGTGTGAGTGACCCACACTCCAGCTGGAGAGCAGCTATAGCTCGATATTCCCGACGTGGTTTGAGCTCTTTTCCTTCTACTGCTATTTTTCCTTTTTTCGCTCTGGCCTAGGGACCTGCACCCTCAAAAAGTGTATTAGTCCTGCGGTCCCCCCTGTAACTGTTCACCTTCCTCCCAGGAGATTGTGAACACGAAAGGGGGTTGGAGCAAGAACCCATCCCAGCCGAGTCTTTCCAGGAAAACCGTGATCGTGCGGGTCCACCTGGAAAGAGGGTAGCAATCCTTATCCTTCCCCAATAGGCACACTTAGCTCACGTCTATAAGTGAGCAGTCACATACACTAGGAAGTAGGCTTCCCCAACGGGGCTCCGGGAGAGAAGCTCAGGAACCACTCTACGACCACCAGCCAGTGGGGAGTGCTGAAATTCCTCTGCTACTTACTCAACCGGAATAGGTAGGTTTTAATAAAAAAAAACAAAAAACAACAACCACCGGTTATGGAGCGCGTACGCCCTCCTAACCGAGACCCGTGCCTGAACCGCCAACCTGACGACCCGAACTACGACAGGCTCCGCACAGAGAAAGCGGACCAGTTACGCACCTTCAATAAAGCCCTAAAAAGCAGGAACACTGCCACCACCTCCAACAACTCCACCACCACTGCTACCGCCACTGAGGACGACAACTGGACGAAGGTAGAAAACAAAAAACGCCGACGTGCTTCTTCGGGAAACGAATGCCGTCAAGCAGCCCAAAAGGCACCCATCACCACCACCAGCTCACCTCCAACGACACTGCCAAAATTCCGGATCACGAAAACGGACACAAAAACGACATATGCCGCCATCACAGAGATAGAAAAGCTAAATCCACTGGCCAAGTTCTCAGTGCGCCCCAACCTAAAGGGGGAGATGATTATTCACCCCAAAGACAAGGACTCCGCCACCACCCTCGACACTTACCTGCAAAACACCACCACCATTGCATCAACCAAGCTGGACCCCGCCCAGAAACTGATGAAGTCGGTAGTCCTCCGGTACCCAAAGGAACTACCCCTCGAACCCGTGGAGAACCACCCGAAGATCCTAAAAGCCGAGAGATGCTCTCCCCCGTCCGACAAGACGGCCACCACAAAACAAGTGCTCATAACGCACTACGGTTCACCCCCCAGCACCATAGACCTCAAAACCTGGGGGATCTACGAAGTGAGGCCCTTCGTCCCAGAGCCCCTGCGGTGCTTCAGATGCCAGAAATACGGGCACCATCAGACAAGGTGCACGTACAAGGAAATCTGCGCAGTCTGCGCACAGAAGGACGGCACACACTCCTGCCTCACCAAGTTGAAAAATGGAGAAAAAATTGCCCCCAAGTGTGCCAACTGCGGGGGCAAACACCACGCCTGGAACCCTGGATGCTCCGAGAGGACAAAGAGGGTCCAGGCAAACCGACCAGCAGCAAGACCGGCCCCCACCGCCTGCACACTAGCCCCATCAAGTACCTTCGTGTCGGGAACCCAAAGGCCAAAACAACAAAGCCAACCTCCTCAGCCGGTCAACACCCAAAGTGCAGCCCAGTTTCCTGGCCTCACTACGGCCACACCTCAGCCACCCAAGCAGCGGACAACGACAACCACAAAAAAGACAAAAGAAGCACACACCAAGGCACCAGAAGGAATGATACACGTATCAGACCTAGCCAAGGTACTGACAACCTTCGCGGAGGGCCTAGCCGGACTACTGGGCCACAAGATCCAACCCACACAGCTCCAAATACTCATGGGGAGCGTCCTCGGGCAAGTTGCCACAGCTCCAGCCACCTCAGTGGAGGAAGCCACGCCGGTCCTCACACGAGTGACAGCCGAGGTACACTCTACACCGAAAAAGGCCACCAGAGAACCCAAGATACCGACAGCTCCCAGAAAGAAATTGGACGTTTCAATTCCCCTGAACCGAACCACGGCCCAGAAGGCAAAAACCACAGAACAAGAAGATATGAACCTGATCCAGTCGGAATCGGACTTGAACATTTCCATCGAGGACCACCAGAAGTCCCCGATGAAACAGTGGTGGAAAACATCAGCACCCTGAACATCCTTACATGGAGCGCTCAGGGCATCAAAAACAAGAAACACCTCCTGCAAGAAGCAGCAGTCAAGGACAAGCTTGACATCATATTGCTACAAGAAACACTTCTACAAGAACACCACTGTTTCAAATTCAGTGGTTACAAGACATACAGGAGGCATTTCACGCAGGCGTCAACAAGAGGATGTATGATCTTGGTCAAGTCAAGCATACCCTCCTCCGAGGTCACGCAGCAATTTCTATGTGGGGAAAACATCGAGACACAGGCCGTCAAAGTAACCCTCCAAGAGCGGGAATTAACTGTTTACAACATCTACAAGAACCCAAGGGGCTCACTGGAGGTGACTCAATTATTCGCTTCGGCCGCTGACCACGCCACACTCATAGGAGGGGATTTCAACGCACATCATCCCTTCCTAAGCTCGGTAAGCCCCACAAATGAAGATGGCCTACACCTATATACCACCTTTCAAGACACACCCGAGATCTGCCTCCTGAACACCGGAGAGCCCACCCACACTAGGGAGGAAGGCTAGATCTAACCTTCGTCTCCAGTGCACTACAGCCTTCGGCCTCCTGGCAGCTACACCCCACGCTGACCAGCAACCACTTCGCCACCCTAACAACGCTGAAGGTGAATAAACTCCCCACTCCACCCCCGCCGAGATGGAGATACAATACCCAAAAGGCAGACTGGGGACTCTTTAAGACACACCTGGCTAAGTGGCGCGAAAAATCACAGCCGGCCGGCGCAGCACCCGTGGACGAGACAGCCCTCCACCAACAATTGGTCGAGGTGTTTCACCAAGCGGCAGATGAGGCTATCCCAAAAACAAAACCCACATCACGACAGTACAATGATTACTGGAACTACTGTCCCAGGGTGAAAGAACTCAACCACAGAGTGAACATGGCCCGAAGAACTACAGGAGACATCCCACGGAAACAAACAGACATCTCCTGCAAGTCATAGTTAAGGATACCAGGGAAGAGAAGGAAGAAATAAAAAACGTAAGCTGGCTCAAGTGGTGCTCCGAACTGAACGAGCACACCTCCCTTGGCAAGATGTGGGCCCAGATCCGAAGGGCATCTGGGAAGGCAACACCACCACCACCAACCCATCCCAACCCAGAAGAGGAAGCCGAGAGACTTGCAAAAGTGTTCTCTGACCGGGCAGCAACGAAAAACCTCCCGAGACAGGCGGAGGAGACACAACGGCGTCTGCGACAGGTCAGACTCCAGATGCTCGAAGAGGCCTGCAACAGTGAAAATGACACCGACAGACCTTTCAACCAGCAAGAACTCCAGAAGTCGCTAAAACGAAGCAAGGACACAGCACCAGGGGCCGACAGGATAACCTACTCCATGCTTTCCCATGCCGGTAAAGCCGGACACGAGGCTTTGCTACAAGTCATCAACGCTTCGTGGACAGCACAAACACTTCCACCGGAATGGAAGAAGGCAGATATACAGCCCATTCCGAAGCCCAGAGAACCAGACAAACCGAGACCCATCTCCCTTCTCAGCTGCATAGCGAAGACGGGAGAAAGAATGGCTCTCAATCGACTCAAGTGGAAAGTAGGCAGCCCACACCCTCACATTTTTGCTTACACCGAGAACACCGGCACAGGCAACAACATCGCCGAGATACTCAGCACAGTGGACTACAAACCAGCTCTGGTGGTCTTCCTCGACCTGGAGAAGGCCTTCGAACTAGCAAATCCACTGGCCATCACAACGACGCTCGCTGAAAAAGGCGTCAAAGGAAGGTTGCTGGGGTGGATCCAGAACTACCTCACACAGAGAGAAGCAAGAGTACGCTTTCAGGGAGCAACCTCAAGCTACAGGGTCCATGAAAACGGAACCCCACAGTCCAATGCTGTTCAATGTCCTGATGGAAAATCTTGTCAAACTTCCTTTCAGACAAACAGCCAAGCTCCTATGCTATGCAGACGACTTACAGCTTATAGTAAGAGGATCAAACAGACTAGCCAACACGCAACACGCACTCCAACTTATAGAAGAGGAGTGCAACAGACTTGGACTCAAGATAAATCTAGCCAAGTCGAAAGCGATGGCCATCTGCACAGACACACCAGACAAGATGCTCTCCATACAAAACACGCCGGTAGTCTGGACCAATACCCACCAGTGTCTTGGAATCTGGTTCGACCAGAAACTCACTTTCAAGCCGCAACTCGAGTATCTCAGGCACAGGACGAAGAGCAGACACAATATAATGAGGTCGCTCACCAGCATGTATCCGCAGAGCAAATTCCTTTCATGCCTAAAGCCTACCACACGGCCGCACTCAGATCAAGGATTACAGCCCAGCACCAATAACGAGAGAAGACTGCGCTGTTTAGAAGCCATCCAAAAAGAGGATCAAGTGCCTGGAGCACCCATGTACCAGAATTTGTGTCTTGCAAATGGAACTGAACCACCACCTTGGCAGTACGAATACAGTGTGACAGCAGGAGGATTCTTGAGTTTGAGTTGGTGGCGTGGGGTTTGGAGTGAGGGGGGAGGAGGGAATCGTTGGGTGAGGGTTAAGGAGAGGTTAGGTTTAATTTGGGGGGGAATTTTTTTTTTTTTGGGTGTGGTTATAGGGAAGTTATTAATACAAGGGAGGTGGGAGGGGAGTGTTTGGTCTGTTTAGTATGGAGGGATTTCTGTCTCTGAATCTGCGTGGGAGTATGATGTTGTCGAAATAATCCTGCCATTGAGGGTAAGTAGTGAGGAGTGATTCTATTTGTTTGTCACCTAGTTGTCTCCAGTAGATGTTAAGTGGGGGGAGGGAGCTGAGTTCATGTAGATGACTATTTCGGATGAAGGATGACCAGTGTGTGTTGTGGATGAATCTTAGTGCTTTGTTTTGTATGACGAAGTTTCTTGGCGTATGATGGTGGTGCTAGCTGGAGTGTGTTAGGTGCATAAGTCAATAATGGGCGTATGAGGGCTTTGAATAGGTGTGTTTTGGTTTTGATTGATGCGGTTCTGAATCTGTATATATTCCCGAGTGTTTTGTTTGCGATCAAAGCCTTCATATTGGTGTGTAGTGTCATGGTGAGGGTGTCGTTGAATGTGACTCCTAGGATTGTGTTTGTTCGTTTGATAGTTATAGGTGAAGGGTAGGCGATGTAGGGGTTTAGGTAAATGTGACGTGGTTGTCGTCTTTTGGTGTCGAAGTAGGTGATTTGTGCTTTGTTCGGGTTGGTTTGTATTCGCCATCGGAGTTCCCATTGTGTAACTTGTTCGAGTTCCCTGTGTGCTTTGTCTGTTAGGTGATCAAGAGTTCTGTGTCTGACTAGTTTGGGTTACATCGTCGGCGTATTGTATTGTCAGAGAGTCGATGTGTAAGGGGTCGGGTAAGTCGTTTGTGTAAAGAATGTATAGTGTTGGGGACAGGACTGATCCTTGTGGGACTCCTGCATGCAGTGTGAAGTGGTCAGAGTAGGCAGGTGTGACTTTTATCCTCATTTTTCTGTCTGTTAGGAAGTTACATAGTAATTGTTGTGATTTTTGAGGGAGGTTAAAATTGGTGCATATCTTGTACTTTAATCCATCGTGCCAAACTGTGTCGAAGGCTTTTTGTACGTCTTTTGTAATGAGTGCTATCTTGTATGCATCTTTGTTCATGTGGAGGTAGTTTGTGATTATATTGAGTGCGTCTTGAGTTGAGTGGTGTGCTCTGAAGCCGAACTGCTTGTAGGACAGAAGTTGTTCATCTTCAAGGTGGTATCTGAGGCGGGTGTTGTATAGTCTTTCAAAAGTTTTGCCTAAGACTTCTAGTATGCTGATCGGTCTGTAGTTTTGAGGATCTGTTGGGTTTTTGTTTGGTTTAGGTATCATGACGGCTGTGGCTGTCTTAAAGAGCTTTGGGAAGTATCCTGTAGCCAGTTGGGTGTTGTAGAGGTATGTAATGGCTGTGACTGTTTCTGGGGGCAGGTGCTTCAGGATTGCTTGACCAATATTGCTGTCACCTGGTGTTTTCTTTTTGGTTTTGTCCAGTGCTTGTTTGACTTCTGTTGGGGTGAAAGGAGCAGTGAGGGTGTGGTCCTGTGTGAGAGTGGAGGTATCTATTGTGTTGTCAGGAGTTGTTCTGTCGTGAAGTGTTTGCATGTGTGTGGTGATGTTGTTTATGTGGTTTAAGATGTACCTTTGTTGTGTGGGGGGTGTGGGTGGTAAATGTGTTCCCAGTGTTGTTTTAGTGTTTGTGCTACGTCGACTGGCTCATTGATCTTCCTACCATTTACTAGCAGGTGATCAAAGGGGGGTTTTGCAGTTCCTTTCAGCTTGGCGATCCTTTGCCAAAATTCTCGGGGGTTATGTGTTCTGTGTTCCTGGGCAGCCTCTACGAGTTTTGCCCAGTGAACCTCATGGTCTTGACGGAGGCTGTGGATGATGTGTGTTCTTAGTGTGGAGATGTCTGTGTAAACTGGTGCTAGGTTAAGTTTGTTTAGTTCGAATCGTGTCCTGTAGCAGTGAAGTAGGCGTTGAGTTCTTATGGAGGGTGTGAAGGAGTATTTTTTCTTGAACCGGTGTTTAGGAATGTGGGTATCTGCTATGGCGGTGATAGTGTTGAAAAGGTGTGTCCAGGTTTCCTCAATCATCCTAGTGGGTTGGTGTTCGAGGTTGAGTGGGTATTGTTGTTCAGAGAGTGTGGTTTTGAAGGCATCCCAATCTGCGTGTTGATACTGGTATTGAGGTGAGGTTGTTGGGAGGAGGATGGGATTGTTGGAGAGGTGAAGAGTGATGGGAATGTGGTCTGAGCCTGATAGGGGGCCGGGAGTGATGTAGTGTTGGAATTGGAGGGCAGGGGTGTTGGTGATGACGATGTCTGGAGTGCCTTTGCCGTGAGCAGCGTAGAATGTGAGGAAGAAAGGGCCAATGTGGTGAAGGTTTTTGTGAGTGACCAAAGCGTGTAGTTGTTGGCCAAGGGGGTCGATGCGGTTGTGTTGGAATGCGGTGTGGTGTGCATTGAGGTCGGCCATTAGTATTACAGGTAGGTGTGAGTTGTTAAAGATGGAGTTTAGGTCTGTGAAGGGGATAAGCGAGTTAGGTCTTGAGTATGTTGTGCAGATGATCATCTGTCCGTGTTGAGTGTCGATCTTGACGGCCATGAAGTGTTTGAAGGCGAAGTTGGTGATGAATTCGTGTTTCATGGAGGATCTGATGAGGATAGCAACGCCCTCGAATAGTTCGTGGGGTGATTGTCTGCTTGTGTAGCCGAAGTGCCTGATTTTGGTGAATGTGCATGTTGAGTTGAGGAGGAGGATGTCTGGGTTGTGTTCTTGTATGAGGAAAGAGATGGCGTGTCTGCTTGAGTGATATGCTCTACAGTTGTATTGCATAATGGTGATCATGTTGTATAATTTGTTCTTGGTTACTTAAATGAGATTGAAATTCCGGGGTGCAGGGATGAGGTCTAACTTGTCGAGTGACTGTGAGCGAGGTCTGAGTGTGGTGTATGCAGGTGAGGGATGGGCGGTTACGTGACTGTGTGTGTGGGGGAGTCGGGAGGATGAGTGGAGTGTGCTAGGTTCGTGTCGGGGTTGTTTCCTGTTTCCTTTGGGGTAGTGCCGAATAGATTTACTTTGATTATAGATTTTGTTGGATGTGTGTATTTTATAATTCTTTTGCTGTCATGTGTGTAGGAAGAAAGGGGGGCGGTGTTCTTCCTCTTAGGTCTAGTGGTCTTGACCACTAGTTCTGTGGGGGGATGGGCTGCCATTTTATTCTTGGGAGTCTGAGGTGTTAGGGGAAGATTGGGTTTGGTTCGGATTTTTGTGGTCCGGGAGTTCATCGTAGTCGTGTGGGAAAAGTCAGGTGTAGGCAAGGTCAAGGTGGAGGGGCAGGGAGGTTTTGGACTGATTACTCTGGGGGGTGAGGTAATAGTAGATTGGTGAGATAAGTCAGGTGTGGGCATGGCAGAAGTGGAGGGGCGGAGGGAGATTGCAGTGGTTTCTCTGGGGGAAGGGGGTGGCATGCTGGTCCGGTCGGGGATGGGGGCAGTGGGGAAGATGAGGTCGGGACCGGTTCTGAAGGAATCAGGAATGTGTATGGTAGGGAGGCCGTTCTCCCTCAAACCATCAATTGCCAGTTTCAGAAAAAGAGACCTGTTTCCGTTGCTTAGGGTATGTGCCAGAAGTATGATAGTGGTGATTTTTGCGTCAATGTCGGGGGAGGGTGGGGGGGCGGTCAGGTTGTTGGTCCAGCAAGTGCGGGTGGGGAGGGTCGTGGCAGTAGGGAGTGAGTGGTGGGGAGGTGGAGGTGGTGCTGTGGGAGGTGCGGGTCGGCGGGGAGGGAGTGGTGTTGTGCTATTGTCGAGTCTGATTTTGCACTTGTTGCTGATGGCAGCGTGAGGGCCTTTACAGTTGCAGCATTTTGTTACCGTGGCAATGCAGTTTCGGTAGGAGTGGCCTTGATTGGCACACTTTGAGCAAGTTATTGTGTTACTGCAACGGTTGGTGCTGTGCCCGAATTGGTAGCAATTGAAACATTGGTGCACTTGTATGAAGTGTTGGAATTCAATGTCTCTTGAGGGGATGATATTGTTGCCGATTTGTATTCCGTAAGATTTTAATTTGATGGCGTCAGTTTGTGTAGCTGTAGTGATTTTTAACATGGGGAGAGTTCCCATCCGGGCTGCATATGTCATTTGGGAGGTGTTGTGTGAGTTGAGCTCATTCAAAAGGTTTGGGTTGTCAAGAATAGGTGGGATCACCCTCCTGCATATGAGGGTGCATTTTGCACGGTACTCAGGGGAACTGAGGACCGTTAAGCCATTGTCCCTCAGTCTGTTGTTCATTGCTGGGGAGTGGAATTGGTCGGCATCTTCATCAGTTTGTACAAAAATTTTGATGATATCGTCGTTTGTGAAGGAACGGATCTGAAATATCAAGGTCAGCTGGAAAATGAGTGAGGCGAGGTCTGTGCACGGTTGGATGGTACGGTCCACTTTAATTTTAATTGAAGGCATGTTTACTGATTTCAAATTTGGAGATTTATGGAGATCTCCCCTAACAGTCCCTGATTTCTTGCGCCCCTCACGTAGGGGAGGCCCTGCACTATCACAGAGGTCCCCAGGCGAATCGGCAGGCTGTGCTGACCCTCCACCCTTCACACAAACACGCACTAGCGAGGTGTGGGGACAGAGGGCGTTTCCAGACGAATACTCCCCTGTACGTCAGCTGACAGGGGAATAGGTCCTTTCACGGCACGGAAGAGAAGGATTACAGTAGAAGAAAAAGGTCTGAAAACTCACTGCCGACTCTCTCTTCACACCAAGCCCCTCAGCAGCATTCGGGATTCCTAAGGGAGGTCCGATACTGTAGGAGAGGCTCAATGTGTTGATTGAATCAACAGAATTGTCAGTTGGAGAATTGAAGTCAGGTGCTTTGGTTTTCCAAGGTACGTGGGAAGGTGGGAGAGGTCCAATGACTAGCCAATCAGCTGTGTCTGTTCCTTCTCCGACTTCCACTTCGCTCTGTGAGTGACTGCTACTGCTCCTGACTGCTGCTCCCGACTGCGACTGGCGACTCACTGGCATACAGCCAGAACAGAAAAATGCTAGTGACAGGGGGGAAGGAGGTTCAGAGGAAGAATAAAGGGAGGATGGAAGTGAATTTTAGAAGGAGAAAACAGGTGCAGTGGCTAAACACCGCTTGCGTGAGGGGGTAGGCAAAATGCCCTGAGGGTGCAACAATCACAATCAGGACGAGGCAGAGGGAGGGCGGGAGCAGGTCCGGGCAAGCAAAGGGCCAACGCGGGTGCTCTGGTTGTCGTCTAGCTTAGGCAGTGTTGGCAAAGCGGAGGAAGAACCGCCCGCCACGGCGGCGGTGCAAGCCGAGAAGCGCAGGTGGACGGACGCACAGGCCACACACGAACAAATTAACAGAGAAGGTGAAAACATGGAAATTTTGCTAGTCGTAGGGTTGTTTGGAGAAAGAAGAAGGTAAAGTCTTTGAGCTATGTCAAAGAGGAACAGAGCGAGTTGGAGGAAGGGTTTTGAATCTTTGAGCTTGAAATGTCAAAGTATTCATAGTAAGGAAGGATGAGCGTATCGTAGGAGAGTTTTTAGAAATAGCAGCAGACAGATTTGAGCTTTTTTGTCAAATTATGAACGGAGACGAGAATGAGATATAGGCTGAATGGTTTCAGTCTTGAGTTAGGTCGATTTTATTGAGAATTGGATGTCACAGACGTTGGGTATGTTTTGATTTGGTTCTGAGAGTTGTGGGTCTTTGAGCTATGTTAGAGAGAAATGGAGAGAGTTGGAGGAAGAGTTTTGAATCTTTGAGCTTGAAATATCAAAGTATTCGTAGTAAGGAAGGATGAGTGTATCGTAGGAGAGTTATTTAGTAATAGCAGGGGACAGATTTGAGCTTTGTCAAATTGTGAACGGAGATGAGAGTGAGATATAGGTTGTTTGGTTTCAGTCTTGAGTTAGGTCGATTTTGTTGACAGTGGCTGGTATAGAGGTTGGATATGTTTGATTTGGTTTTGGAGAGTTGTAGTGTTATGAGTGGCTTTGTCTGGCGGGAGGGGGGTGTTGTGTTTGGAGATTGGTTGTGGGAGGGGGTTGTATGTTGAGTTGAGGTGAATTAGAATTGCTTAGGGGGGTTGTTGTGTGAGTGTGTATGCGTTTGCGTGGAAATGTAGTAAGGGGAGAGGGGGAGGGTTAGGATAATTGATATAAGGTCAGGTATGGTTCGGGTTGTCGGGAGGAGGAGGAGAGGGAGGCGCAGGAGAGAGGGCTTTTGGAGGTTGTTAAGTTAATTGAGAAAGCGGAAGGATTCTCAGGTGTGATAGTAAGATTTGTGTTGCTAAATGAATCGTTGTATTGAGTCATAGGTTTTTTTTTTTTTTTTTTTTTTTTTTTTTTTTTTTTTAGGATATCGAAGGCTTATAGGCAAGGTCGGGTATATTAAGTTTTTCTTTTGGGAGGATTGAAGGTGCTGATTAGTGACTGATAGTGAGTTAGCTTTTTTTTTTTTTTTTTTTTTTTTTTTTTTTTGGGAGGATCAGAGAAGATTGGGTGGAAGTTAAGTTTTTTCTTTTGGGACATTGAAGCTGCGTTGATTAGTGATTGACGGGAGTTAGCATTTTTTTTTTTTTTTTTTTTTTTTTAGGGATTGTGAGTAAGGTTGGGTGGGTTAAGTTTTTCTTTTGGGAGGATTGTAGGTTTTGTTAGTGGTTGGCAGAGTTGGGTTAATCATTACATTCTTTCTTTCCTTTGGCTAGTAAAGGACTTCTGCAATTGCGGTAGGCTCTTGCAGGTATTGTGAGTTCTGGCCCCATTCTTGAGGGAGAGGGTTTGTGTACAGGTACATTGCACCCCTCCCCGACCTTATTGGCTAAGGGAGGTGCCCATAAAACAGTGTAGGTAACATTCTTGAGGGAGAGGGCTTGCGTACAGGCACTGTGGAACTCTCCCCGACCTTATTGGCTAAGGGAAACGTACATGTCATCCGAGTTAGTATGGGATGGGTAAGTTAGGTATTTGTTTTGGGAGGAGTGATAGGGTGTGGTTAGTTAATGGTAGAATGGTTATTTATTATTTTGTGTGGGATTGCTAGTAACGGCTGGGTATGTTAGGTTTTTATTTTGGGAGGAGTGATAGGGTGTGGTTAGTTAACGGTAAAATGGTGTTTTTTTTTTTTGTTTTTTTTTTTTGTGTGGGATTGCTAGTAACGGCTGGGTATGTTAGGTTTTTATTTTGGGGGGAAGAGACGGCCTAATTTCAGTGAGGCTGAAGTATACGCTCTTGTGACTGAGGTAGCCAAACGAAAAGAAATGATTTTAGGGAAGTTGGACTCAAGTAGTTGTACACTTCAACTCAAAAACCATGCCTGGGGTGAAGTGTTAAATGCGGTGAATGCTGTTGGTAGAGTCACCCGCAATGTTACTGAAATTCGGCGGAAGTTTTCTGATCTTCGTGTTAGCGTTAAGAAAAAAGCAGCACAAGATAAGAAATATGCTGGTGGAACAGGTAAGTCATAATATTGTTAGCGTGGTTATTGATTGATAATATGAAACAAACTTAACTATGGTTTTTCTGAGGTTTGGTACGATTTTACGTGTTTGTAAACTCAAGGAAGTAAGTAGTGTGGTGGCTCTCCATCGTGAATGAATACACATATTTTCCTTATATGAGCACATTCATTAAAAGAAACATCGTTCTTCGAATTTTTCCGTGTGAGTAAATAGTAAAAACTTTACCGTTCAACCTAATTTTTTTTTTCTTTTTACGTGGATTAACCAACCCAGGCACAGTCACTGACTCACGTCGGGGCCTGTAATAATAATTATTTAGTACTATTAATAAAAATACCACTTTATTAATAATAATATTAATAATAAATAACCATAAATACCGAAATGAAAACACAAAAAGTGAGAATCAATATACAGTATGTATGTTGTGTTGTCGATATTACGAGAAACAATTGCGACCCTGCAATTGTGTGTAAATGACACATTTAGTCAGATCAGCAACCTTAGACTTGCTCCTAATTTTCGTGATGCCATATGGCAGCAGGGTCTACCATTAGAGTACACATGATGCTTCCAATATCTTACCACCCGGTAGTCAGGGAAGTCTGTACTACTGTTAATAATTTCCCCACAACTTTTGGATTTTCTTATTATACCTATCATATAGATTACACAATTTTAAGACACACTTGTCATTGTGTCGCAACTGACGTGGAACAGAGATAGTTAATATGAGTTTGTGTGGCAGGGCGGCGGAGGCCTCCCGTTGGTAAAGGAAGCTAGGTTAGGTAGGTTTGGTTACTGTTATAAACTACATATTAATAATTACGTTATTTCAGACGGTAATGAAGGTCATAATGTATAAGTTGCCATAGAATTCCTTTTTTTATGTCGTTAATTTTCATTAATCAATAGATTTATATTCATATTTGGTATACATTAATATGTAAATTTTACTTTGTTAGGCTTATAGGCAAGGATGTTCTATCCTATGAGTTTACAACTAATACAGGTTGAAAATTTCTGGCTGCGACTATTTTTTTTTACTTATTTTACCATTTATTGTTTGTTACCTTAAATCTAATTAACTTTTGACATAGATAAAGGAGAATTTTTGTGGCTACAGCTACAATGATAGGTTAGGTTATAATGTTTGGAACTATTTCAGTAGATTCCTTTGTAACTATGATTTTTGCCAAATATAACATAGTTAGCGTATAGTGTATGTAACCACAGCTCACAGTAAGACAGTTATTATTTATATTTTCTCTTCAAGGTGGCGGCCCCCAAATTGAAATTACATACACTGCAATTGAAGATGCAATTCTTCAACTATTAGATCCAGCCTCTATACATGGGATTCCAGGGGATGTTGAAAGTGAAGAACCTATTACTGGTAATTCAGTCAAAATATTTTTCCAACCCCCTGATATATTTTGTTCTTTTCTGTCCTTGTTTTTATTTAAAAAAAAACTTTTGGAGACATTTTTTCACATCTTGATTTGGAAATACTGTACAGTATACTGATTTTTTATATAATTTTGAAAAATAACAACACTAGTAAGTTGGTTTCATTTCTAGCTTGTTTATTGCTTCCCTAAGTTATATATTAAATGTTGTTATAACTCGTATGTTAATGGACAAAATTGAGAAGTGCAAATATAAGAAATTTAACGCC